AAACTTTCAGTTACAAGACACGTAACTTCTGAGTGTATAATGTACAGCATGGTGACTATAGTTAACAATACTGTATTGTATACTTGAAATTTGCTAAGAGAGTAGATCTTAAGTGTTCTCAACAAACAAGAAGAAGGTAATTATGTGAGGTGATGGATGTGTTACTTAACTTGATTATGATTATAGTAATCACTTCACAATGTATACGTATATTAAATCATCATGGTATGCCCCTTAAATATATATACCTTTTATTAGTCAGTTATACCTCAATAGAGCTGGAAAAAGCGAAATAACCCCTTATTTGTTTAAGCCCCTGAAGTTTGGGGGATATCTGTTACTACAGCACAGCATAATCTATGCTGGTTTTGAGATCAGAGTTCACTAGTTAACCCCAAGAGTGTTCTAGAGGAGTTCAAACCCATCCAATATTAAAGTCCTACCCTTGGTTCTTATGACTGAATGGCAAATAATTATTTAGATTTTTATTTCTTTGTATGATCAAGGGCTACTTATTTGTGACCTTCTAAGGGCATTATTAAGCATTTAAGATTTTTTATATACAGAAACAAAAGTTACTAAGTTAGTAGATTTTTCGGAGGACTTTAATTCAGTATTCCACAATGAAATATAGCTTATGCAGTGTGTGGTGGACAGAATTTCCTACATTACTTAAGTTCTCTTTTCCCCTTTGGCCACCCCAGCAACATATTTGAATTTTCAGATGTTAAATGCACGACTGTTTCGGTTATGCTTCCTAATTATAGCATTTGATTCACTTCTTTCTCTTCTATACCTTGTTGATTGACTTTTCCCCTTTATGGAAAGCAAAGCTAATGTATCCATCCAACCATTAGTTACTGAAGAGGAGATTTCCTATTTTAAACAAATGGATGCTTGTTCACACCCAGAATAGCAGACATATCATACTCTGCATTCAGCCTCGACTGTCCCTTTTCTGACATCTGACTTCTGAAGTGCTGGGCACCAGGCAAAAGAGGTTGGCTTCTGAGCTAGAGTCTCACTTTGCCTCTCCAGATCTCTCTCCAATCTTCACCCTGCCCTGTGCCCTGGAATCTGCATCACCTAGCCTCCTGGTTGTGTAAGGCCAATGGGAAGCACCAGCAAGAGATGGGAAGGTGGAATGAGAGAGTTATCTACCCCTCCCCACCCTGCTCAGGCTACAGATGGTTAGAGGTAGGGCTTCTCTCTGGAGGTCTCTCCATGGCTCACTAGGTCTCCCTACACACTCCCCCACTTACTCTTTCACACTCAAGGTGCTAATGGCTTCTTGCTAATACTAGTCTTTTTTTTTTTTTAAATAGCATAGAAGGGTTTATTGTGGGGGCCAAGTAAGGAGAATGGGTGGCTTGTGCTCCAAAGACCCAAACTCCACTAATAATAGTCTTAAGGTGCCACATCACCCTCATTAATTTCCCTTATCTCTGCCCACTATTTTCTACGTGGTTGCTTCTGTAAATTCTCCTCATTTACCCCTTCTGAGCATGTTATATTTCCTGCTGGGACCCCAACTCTTATAGACTTTTGGGAACTAGGGTATCACTGGGAAGTTGAAACTACATGAACCTTCAATGAAACTGATATCCGTGGGGAAAAATGCCTCCCTGTTCTTTTTTTAAAAAAATAATTATTTAGTAGTTTAAAACATAAAGGCATGCTAGGAACAATGCAATGAATTCCCATGAGTCTAAAGAAAAAGTATCAATATTGGTAAAATCTTGTTGTTGTTGTTGTTTTTTAACTTCTCTGTAGTATATCCCCATGGTGTTTTCAAGCTGAGAACCTGGGTCAGGAACCTAGCTTGCTCACAGGAGGATAGATATCAATGTGAGATATACCGTCTGGGGTGTTCTGAAAAGTAAATGTGTTGAACTTGTGAGTGAGTGTGTGTGTGTGGCTGATGGAGAAATATTTGAAGTAGGCTTTCAGGAATGATACACTGAGCCAGAAGAATTCTATTTAAGCAATTGCTCTTTCCTGAGTCACTGGGTGTGTATTGAAAGTGCCAGCCTTGGGATGGCGTAGGCCTGCATCTAAATCTTGACTCTTTTATTCATTCCCTCTGTGATCTTGAAGGAGCCTTTGCAAGGGAATTCCCTGGATATAGAGACTCATTCCCTGTGGTAAGACATGCCCAGGATGGCATGGTTTATATGGCATATCATGGTGTGTAAGGGAGCATTCTTGTACACAGGGCTTATTGTCAAGCAGGGGAGATGAGGTATGTAGGCTGATAAAAATAATGCAAGATTACATGCTGTAAAGGTGATGGGATCTTAAGAGCTAGACCATTAATGTTGCTATCAAGGGACTAGAGGAAAGAACCTTAGAACCACATTTCTCAGCATGGTATCATAGAGATGAGGACATGGACCCCACTACAGTACAGGTTCTGGCTCAGCCTGAGTCCTGACTCTCACTTCAACCTCTTCGCTGCATTGCCTCTTAGGTGATTCCTGCTCAAAGTGACAGTTTTAATCTAGGTAAACTAGATATCAGCACAATTTCATTATTTTCCGTTTTCAGAATTTTGAAGGAGACACGTTGTAGGACAAGGGAAACCAGATAGCCAGACAGGTTTGCAACTAGTATTGCCACGTCAAGGCATTTTTCATGCTCTTCTGATGCCGAAAGCTCAGCCTCTGTGCACTGGGACCAAATTGAATCTCAGAGACAGAGTTTGGGGTGAAGAAGAAAAGAATAGCTTTATTGCTTTGCCAGGCAAAGTGGAGACACAGCGGGCTCATGTCCTGAAAAACTGTATGTCCCAACCCAGGGGAGGTTGGTGAGGAGTTTTATAGCAATGGTTCAAGGGTGGGGTTGTTGATAGGATTAGGGTGTGTGCAGGGCCTGTACTCCTTTAATCTGGTCTCAGGTGATCTCTTGATGAGCTTCTCTGGTTTCTTTAATCTGGCCTCAGGTGGTCTTCTCTGGAATGAAGAATGCTGACATCTTCCATTTGTTGGGGGTTTTAGTTCTGTAAAGAGCTCAAAGATATTGTTATGTGTATCCCTTGAGGTGAACCAGGACCTGCCCCAAGGCTGCACTGTTGTTTCTTGACTGCTCCTCCTCCTCTGATTAGCAACTGTTGGAACCTGCCCTTTGGAACTCAGGGAAGGTCATGGAGGCTAAACAGAAAGGCTCCCGTGCCCAGGAGCCCCACAGGGTCCTTCTCAGTTTCACTTACACTCACTGAGCAGAGTAGACAAGAATAATGGGTTCTGAAATGCTTCTGAAAGACTCTCCCTTTGACCTAACTCATGTCAAGCTATTTCTGAGTCCTCTTTCTGATTGGACCTTGCCCTTGGGCTCTGTCCTGGGCCCATTTAGCCCAGTTTTAGCAAGAATCCTGCTGGGTCAATTTAGTGAAAAAATCCCCCACCCTTGATATCTGATCAAATTCCTCATCCTCCACTCTTCATATCTTATCACTCTGGCCTGCCTTCAGCAAAAATCCTATGAAGTCAGTTTAGCCAAAATTTCCCTAGCCCTGAAGTTCCTTTTTAATAATTTTTCATCCACTGACTCCTGCCCTGATCCTTGGCTATAAATCTACTTGTCTTTGTTGTATTCAGAATTAAGCCCCATCTCTCTCCCCTCTACAAACCCTCATTGCAGTAGTCCCCTGAAAAAAGTCTGCCTTACAGTTTTTACTGTGTCATACATAATTTTTTCTTTAGTACTACTACTTGGGATTGAACTCCAGGTCTATTATTTACTCTCTGTGTATTATTCTTCTTATATGCAAAATGAAAATAATAATGAGAATTACCTAATGTGTCAGAATTCAAGAAAGTTAGATTCTTTAAGTGTTGTGTAAGAATTAAATGAAGTGAGATATATAGATACAGATATCTACCTATCTATCATCTATCTATCTGTACCTATATCCATATGACAGTGCCTGGGACATGGTAACCCCCAATTCTTTTTAGCTGTTACTATTTCCTCCTCTAGAATGTAAACCTCTGAAGGTAACTTTTAGTCTCTTTGTTTCACTGTTACCTCTCCAGTGCTCAGGAAAGTACAGGCACACAATAAACTTTTTTTTTTTGCGGTACGCGGGCCTCTCACTGTTGTGGCCTCTCCCGTTGCAGAGCAACAGGCTCCGGACGCGCAGGCTCAGCGGCCATGGCTCACCGGCCCAGCCGCTCCGCGGCATGTGGGATCTTCCCGGACCGGGGCACGAACCCACGTCCCCTGCATCGGCAGGCGGACTCTCAACCACTGCGCCACCAGGGAAGCCCCCACAATAAACTTTTAATAAATATTTGTTGAATGAATAAATGAATGAATAGATTTTCTTATTTTCCTTTCCCAGAGTTTGGAGGGCATGGTGAAATTCTCCAACTTGCCCAAAGTGACAGAACAAAGCCTCATGTCCTTTCCTCTATCTATCCTGCAATAGCCAATGAAGGACAGAGAGTACTTTGAGATATACGCACTCATTCATTCATTCATTCAACAAATATCTAATGGTAGCAAGTGAGAGCGATTAAAAGATGACTAAGACTCTGAGGAAGGGCATAGAAAGATCACATGCCATGTACAGATAATTTCAAGCATCATTCTAATGTTGCTGCTGCATTTAGGACACAGCATTTGTTGGCAAGAGGTGAAGTTGGAGAATGAGACAAGGACGATATCATGGATGACTTTGCAGGATGTCTTAGGCTGGGCTCCACAGAAGCAGTACCTGAGACCAGGATTTAGGTGGAAGTGATTCATTAAGAAGGAATGCTAGGAAAATCTGATAAGAGAATGGGAGGAGCAGGATAGAGAAGGAGAAGAAGCCACCTGTGGTAGCCCGTATCCAAGATGGTCCCCAGTGATCCCCACTACCTGGTACCCTTTTTTTGCAGTCCCCTCCTACATTGTATCAAGACTGATTTGTGTGACCAATAACTTCTAGCAGAAGTGATGGCATGACCCTTCTGAGATTAGGTTCTGTTTTGGGTGCTCTCTTGTTTACTTACCAGCTCCCTCCTTCTGTTGGATCATTTGCTTTGGGAGAAGATAACTGCCATGTCATGTAAGCAACCCTACAGAGAGACCCATCTGGCAGGGAACTGAGGCCTCCTGCCAACAGCCATGTGAGTGATCTTGGAAGCACATTCTCCACCTTCATCCGACAATTGAGCACCAGCTGACTACATGACTGCAGCCAGGTAAGCTGCCCCCAGATTCCTGACCCTCAGATACTGTATGAGATAATAAATATTTGTTGTTTTAAGCCATTAATTTGGGGGGAGGAGGCGGATTTGTTATGCACAATAGATAAGTAGTATACCAAGTAGGAATGTGATATCAGGCAAAGTCCTAGCCTTAACTTGATCCTGCAGAGGAGCTCTGCAGTGTAAGTTACATCTCAAAGTTTGTATTTACTTGAGGCAAGAGAGCTGGGTTTCCCTACTCTTGTTTCAGTCAGTAGATAGGCTGCCCTAACACTTCTGACTCTCCGAACCAGTGGGCACAAAGGCTCCATTCATGCAGGACAGTCCTCCAGAGAGATTCTACGGTGTGGCCCTTAGAAGCAAAGCATGTAGAAGCTGGTGTGAGGGATAGGTACTTAGAAAGAGCAGAAGGGATTCAAGGAGATCTGGGCTGAGCCCTGACAGTGTCCACTAATGGACCATACCTGTCCTTGGACTTTGCCCTGTTGGTGATAAAGAGCCATCATAGAATATCAAGCGAGAACATGATATAATTTATTTTCTGTTTTGGCTATGATCACACTGGCAGCTAAAGAGGAAGGTGGCATTATGAAGCTCTCATATAGTGATTTAGGGCAGAGATACCAAAGATGGGAAGAAAGTGATGGACGCAAGAAGCATTTGGAGGCAGTGTCAGCAAGGATGGTGATGGAGAATTGGGGCAAAGAAGAAGGAGGAATTATAGATGCCTGGACGCCTTCCAGGCTGTGAAATTCAGTGAGAGAGAGAAAGAGAGAAAGAGAGAGAGAGAGAGAGAAAAGAAATTTAAAAAGTAAAGAAAGACTTTGAGCATTCAAGGCTTTAGCTCTTTTGGCTGCCCCTTTTTTAGCATTCATGTTTATTAAACATCTACTTCAAGATGCTGTGAGAGTTATAGTAGTGATCTAGGCAGTTTTCCCTGTCCTGAATTCAAGGCAGGATCAGAGATGTAAACTAACAACTACAATACTACATGATAAGTACTATGGTTTTGGGAAGTAGTTTTTTTTTTTTTATTGGGGTATATTTATTTTACAATGTTATGTTAGTTTCTACTGTACAGCAAAGTGAAGTAGAGTTCCCTGTGCTATACAGCTGGTTCTTATTAGTTATCTATGGAAAATAGTTTTCTAATCAACTGATTTTTTTTAACAAAGGCCAAAGACAATTCAATAGAGAATGACTAGTCTTTTCAATAAACAGTGCTGGAAAATGAAATGTTCATACACAAAATAAAGAATCAAACAAATCTGGGTTTTGTAGGTCATCGTCATTATTTCCTTCCTGTGTAAATTTTTGCATATGAAGTTCCTAATGACACATGAACCAATTGATACAGATCAGGGAACCCTGGATTATATATTTCTAGATCTATTCTACATTGATCTGTAAATTTCTTTCTATCTTATCTAGGCTTTAAAGGTCTTCTTTTAAAAAAATTATTTTATATTGGAGTATAGTTGATTAACAATGTTGTGTTAGTTTTAGGTGTTAGTTTCAGTAAAGTGATTCAGTTATATACATACATGTTTCTTTTTCAAATTCTTTTCCCACTTACGTTATTACAGAATAATGAGCAGAGTCCCCTGTGCTATACAGTAGGTCTCTGTTGGTTACCTGTTTTAAATATAGCAGGGTGTATATGTCAATTCCAACCTCCCAATTTTTCCCTTCCCTCAGCACTTCCCTGCTGTAACCATAAGTCCATTCTCTAAGTCTGTAAGTCTGTTTCTGTTTCGTAAATAAATTCATTTTTATCATTGTTTTTAGATTCCGCATATAAGCAATATCATATATTTGTCTTTCTCTGTCTGACTTACTTCACTTAGTGTGATCATCTCCAGGTCCATCCATGTTGTTGCAAATGGCATAATTTCATTATTTTTAATGGCTGAGTAATATTCCATTGCATATATGTACCACATCTTCTTTATCCATTCATCTGTCAGTGGATATTTATGTTGCTTCTATGGCTGCAGTATTGTAAACAGCACTGCAATGAACAATGGGATGCGTGTATTCTTTTGAACAATGGTTTTCTCCAGCTATATGCCCAGGAGTGGGATTTCTGGATCATGTGGTAGCTCTGTATTTAGTTTTTTAAGGAACCTTCATACTGTTCTCCATAGTGGCTGTACCAATTTACATTCCCACCAACAGTGTAGGAGGGTTCCCTTTTCTCCACGCCCTCTCCAGCATTTGTTATTTGTAGACTTTTTAATAACGGCCACTCTGACTTATGAGGTGATAAGGTAATATCACCTGACTTATGTGAGGTGATATCCCATTGTAGTTTTGATTTGCATTTCTCTAATACTTAACGATGTTGAGCATCTTTTCATGTGCCTCTAAGACATCTGTATGTTTTCTTTAGAGAAATGTCTATTTAAGTCTTCTGCCCATTTTTTGATTGGTTTTATATATATATATATATATATATATATATATATATTTGTATATATATATTGTTTGTAAATTTTGGATGTTAATCCCTTGTCAGTAGCATCATTTGCAAATATTTTCTCCCATTCTGTGTGTTGTATTTTAGTTTGGTTTCCTTTGCTGTGCAAAAGCTTTTTTAGGTTTAAGTTTAATTAGGTTCCATTGGTTTATTTTTGTTTTTATTTTCATTACTCTAGGAGATGGCTCAAAAAAGATATTGCGGAGATTTATGTCAAAGAGTGTTCTACCTATATTTTCCTCTAAGAGTTTTACAGTATCCAGTCTTACATTTAGGTCTTTAATCCATTTTGGGGTATGGTGTTAGAGAGCATGCTAATTTCACTTTTCTTTTTACAGGTGGCTGTTCTGATTTCCCAGCACCACTTATTGAAGAGAACTGTCTTTTCTCCATTGTATATTCTTGCCCCCTTTTTCATAGATTAGTTGACCATAGGTTTGTGAGTTTATTTCTGGGCTTTCTATCCTCTTCCATCGATCTATATTTCTGTTTTTGTGCCAGTACTATACAGTTTTGATGACTATAGCTTTGTAGTATTGTCTGAAGTCAGGGAGCCTGATTCCTCCAGCTCCGTTTTTCTTTCTTAAGATTGCTTTGGCTATTCGGGGTCTTTTGTGTCTCCATACAAATTTAAAAAATTTTTGTCCTAGTTCTGTGAAAAATGCCATTGGTAATTTGATAGGGATTTCACTGAATCTGTAGATTTCCTTGGGTAGTATAGTCATTTTGACAATATTGATTCTTGCATTCCAAGACCGTGGTATATCTTTCCATCAGTTTGTGTTATCTTTGATTTCTTTCATCAGCATCTTACAGTTTTTGGAGTACAGATTTTTGAACATAGACGCAAAAATCCTCAACAAAATACTAGCAAACTGAATCTGACAATACATTAAAAGGATCATACACTGTGATCAAGTGGAATTTATCGCAGGGATGCAAGGATTTTTCAATATCTGCAAATCAAAAAGTGTGATGCACCACATCAACAGACTGAAGAAGAAAAACCATATGATCATCTCAATAGATGCAGAGAAAGCTTTCAACAAAATTCAACACCCATTTAGGATAAAAACCCTCCAGAAAGTAGGCAGAGAGGAAACTTAACGTCAATATAATAAAGGCCATATATGACAAAACCACAGCCAACATCCTTCTCAATGGTGAAAAACAAACCATTTTCACTAAGGTCAAGACAAGGTTGCCCCCTCTCACCACTCTTATTCAACATAGTTCTGGAAGTTTTAGCCACAGTAATCAGAGAAGAAAAAGAAATAAAAGGAATCCAAATCAGAACAGAAGTAAAACTGTCACTCTTTGCAGATGACATGATACCATACATAGAGAATCCTAAAGATGCTACCAGGAGACTACTAGAGCTAATCAATGAATTTGGTAAAGTAGCAGGATACAAAATTAATGCACAGAAATCTCTTGCATCCTATACATGAACAAGGAAAGATCAGAAAGAGAAATTAAGGAAACACTCCCATTTACCATTGCAATAAAAAGAATAAAATACCTAGGAATAAACCTACCTAAGGAGACAAAAGACCTGTATGCAGAAAAATTTAAGATGCTGATGAAAGAAATTAAAGATGATACAAACAGATGGAGAGATATACCATGTTCTTGGATTGGAAGAATCAACATTGTGAAAATGACTCTACTACCCAAAGCAATCAACAGATTCAATGCAATCCCTATCAAACTACCAGTGACAGTTTTCTCAGACCTAGAATAAAAAATTTCACAATTTGTATGGAAACACAAAAGACCCCGAATAGCCAAAGCAATCTTGAGAAAGAAAAACGGAGCTGGAGGAATCAGGCTTCCTGACTTCACACTATACTACAAAGCTACAGTAATCAAGACGTATGGTACTGGCACAAAAACAGAAATATAGATCAGTGGAACAGGATAGAAAGCCCAGAGGTAAACCCATGCACATATGGTCACCTTATCTTTGATAAAGGAGACAAGAATATACAATGGAGAAAAGACAGCCTCTTCAATAAGTGGTGCTGAGAAAACTGGACAGCTACATGTAAAAGAATGAATTTAGAACACCGCCTAACACCATACACAAAAATAAACTCAAAATGGATTAAAGACCTAAATGTAAGGGCAGACACTATAAAACTCTTAGAGGAAAACATAGGCAGAACACTCTATGGCATAAATCACAGCAAGATCCTTTTTGACCCACCTCTTAGAGAAATGGAAATAAAAACAAAAACAAACAAATGGGACCTAATGAAACTTAAAAGCTTTTGCACAGCAAAGGAAACCATAAACAAGACGAAAAGACAACCCTCAGAATGGGAGAACATATTTGCAAATGAAGCAACTGACAAAAGATTAATCTCCAAAATTTACAAGCAGCTCATGCAGCTCAATATCAAAAAAACAAACAACCCCATCCAACAGTGGGCAGAAGACCTAAATAGACATCTGTCCAAAGAAGATATACAGATTGCCAACAAACACATGAAAGAATGCTCAACATCATTCATCATTAGAGAAATGCAAATCAAAATTACAATGAGATATCATCTCACACTGGTCAGAATGGCCATCCTCAAAAAATCTAGAAACAATAAATGCTGGAGAGGGTGTGGAGAAAAGGGAACACTCTTGCACTTTGGGTGGGAATGTAAATTGATACAGCCACTATAGAGAACAGTATGGAGGTTCCTTAAAAACTAAAAATAGAACTACCATATGACCCAGCAATCCCATTACTGGGCATCTACCTTAAGTAAACCACAATTCAAAAAGAGTCATATACCACAATGTTCGTTGCAGCTTTATTTACAATAGCCAGGACATGGGAACAACCTAAGTGTCCATCAACAGATGAATGGATAAAGAAGGTGTGGCACATGTATACAATGGAATATTACTCAGCCATTAAAAGAAAGGAAATTGAGTTACTTGTAGTGAGGTGGATGGACCTAGAGAGTCCATCAGAGTGAAGTAAGTCAGAAAGGGAAAAACAAATACCATATGCTAGCACATATATATGTAATCTAAAAAAAAACCAAAATGGTTCTGAAGAACCTATGAGCAGGGCAGGAATAAAGATGCAGACGTCAAGAATGGACTTGAGGGCACCGGGAGGGGGAAGGGTAAGCTGGGACGAAGTGAGAGAGTGGCGTGGACATATATACACTACCAAATGTAAAATAGATAGCTAGTGGGAAGCAGCCGCATAGCACAGAGAGATCAGCTCGGTGCCTTGTGTCCACCTAGAGTGGTGGGATAGGGATGGTGGGAGGGAGATGCAAGAGGGAGGAGATATGGGGATATATGTATACATATAGCTGATTCACTTTGTTTTACAGCAGAAACTAACACACCATTGTAAAGCAATTATACTCCAATAAAGATGTTTTAAAAAAATAAAAATAAAGGTGCCTCAAGTGAACTCACACAGATTGAATAATGTATTCAAAGAATAATAAACTATTTCCAGCTTTTATTTCTGACCATAAAATATCAATGAGGAGGCTGAAATCAAGAATGCGACTTCTTGAGTTGCCCAATTAACACCCATAGAGCATCTGAAACCCCAGAGGAATCTGGCTTGGTTCCATCGTATGAGCCAGAGATCCTAGTCTATGGCGTGGAGTCTCTAGCCAAATTGAAGCAGCACTGCGGGAGTTTGGGAACAATCCCAGGAACTTGGCAGCCTGAACAAACTCAGTGACCTTCTTGAAAATGACAGCTCACTCTGGCTGCTCATCCCTCTTTTCAGTCTTCTATCTCTCACTTGCAAGCCTGAAAGGACAGCTTGAAAATGTATTGTCTGGATGTAAGACCCCCAGTATTGCATTCTTATTGGCCCCAACACAAGTGGAGAAAACTATACAAATAGTACCTTGGGTCAAGAGTAATAAGTAAACTCGTAGGAGAGATTGGAACTGAAACATTCTTTTCATTTTTTCAAAATCTTTTCAAAGGGGTCAGGTTTGGTAAAACTGGGATACCAGTAAAGGGTACCAGAATAAGCCACCTCAAAATATGCCTCTTTGGCATATGGATTATTTTGAGCGAAAGGCCATGGGAGAGCCAGCAGATATAAGAAAAGCTCTAAAAACAGATCACAAGTTTTCCTTTTGCAAAGGAAATTTCCATTTGTAGAGCTGGCTCCATGGCTCCTATTCTCCTACCAGGAAGAGGAGGATTCTTAACAACTCATCCCTGGAGAAGGCACCAACTTAAATCTGCATGACAAACCTTACCAAACAAGCCTTGTTTACCATGCTTTCCCTGATCACCTTCTCATCTCTTTCCTCTTCCTCTCAGAAGCCCCAAACCCCTTTTCCTTGTTTAGCTTAAAACAGTATATAAGCCCAAATTCCAGCCACCCTTTTGTGTTATTCATCACTGGGTGCTCCCAACAATGAACATGCTAGTAAACCTCTTTTCTTTTTCTCTTGTTGATCTGCCTTTTGCCAGTCTAATTTATATGGTCCCAGCCAGAGAACCTAAGATGGTTAGGGAGAAACCATTTTTCTCCCTCCTCAACACCAGTCAAGGGTTAGAGCTGCATTTGTGTTCCCATAGCGTCCCAGGATTAAAATAGAAAGTTCTTAGACATTATAAAATATTCCCAAACCAGAGGAGGTCGAGAAGCCAAATGCCATCCTGTAGATTAATGTCCAAAATATAAGGTGAGGCATTTGTTAGTAAGTTGCTATATTTAGCAAGGAGTTCAGAGGCAAAGAAATGAGAGTAAGCGCAAACAGTTGAGAATCACACTAGATTCTAAGTTCCTCTAGAGCAAGAAATGTATATTGTTTGTCGTTGTGTTCCGCCCCTGGTGGAGTGCCTGGAAAATACCCTCTTATTTAAGTGATACCTAACTTAATGATCAAATGGTTTTAAAAGGAAAGGGGTTAGGAGTTAAGAGAAACATTGTCTCCTGTTCGTGACTTTTTAAATGAGCTGGCTGAAGCTTATTCAGTGGTTGCTGTTTTGACTGTGCTTCAAGGGCTCAGAGTGGAGCAAAAACATTCAATTTTTTATCTCTTACTGGTTTCCAGGTACTATGCAAGTCATGAGTGATGCAAAAATAAAAAAAGACACCATGTTTTCCCCTGAGAAGCTCAAAGCTTCACAGAATAAATGACATTCTTACTCTCCATTTAATGGTAAGTAGTTTTCCAGGTAAAGAGAAGGTGAAAGAATTCCAAGAAGATAGACTTTTATATCCTAGGACCCAGCCACAACCTTACTAAGGTAGTTGCATGGAGTTAGAGTATAAGGTGTGTAAGAAAGAGTGGTGATAATGTTTGTAAAGTAGTTCAAATGGTGATGAATAGAAATTAACAGATCTTAAGTTTTTGTAAGAATGACTCTGGGTACACACACAGAGAATGAAATGAAAAGGTCGACGTTGCAGACCAACTGTGAAAACATTTTATTGGTCACATAAGAAAGGATGAGACCCAGAACTAATATCCAGAGATGGCAGAGGGCAGAAAATAAGACAAAATTTGATAGCAATTTAGTAATTGAAATCAAGGACATTTGGTGGCCATCTAGGTGTGGAAGAAATTGAAGATTACCATGAAATTTCTAACTTTGAAAATTAGGTGGATGGTGAGGCTATTAATCCAATATCAGAATGCAAGAAGGTGAGTACTTTCTTAAGATAATGAGTTCATTTTGATATGTTCATTGCGAAATACCTGTAGACATCCAATGTATTTGTTCTGTGTAAGTCTGGAACTCAGTGGAGAGGGGCAGACATTGGCTTCCTTGGGACTCTGACTTTTTCTAAGCATGTTACTTGAAGGAGAAAATTACTCGTGGACTCTGTTCGGCTGCACTTAAACTGAAATTTACTCCCCTCAGAAATATCATCTTAATTCCCCAAATTTATATCTTTTCTACAAATTGAGGTCTGACTTATAGACCCAAACTCCAAGTGCTCATTCCATTGGTCAAGGACCATCTAGGGTCTATTATCTTCTTCATACCTTTCACCCAGAGGCAGCGCCTAACTATGTATACTACTTAACAGTCATCCACTGCTCAAATTTGTTATCAAGCCTTCCTGTCTTCTCAATAACTCCTCAGCTGCCATATTTTGACCCCTTCCCCAGTCACTGAACTAAGACTTTCCAAGGTGACCAAAGAATTCCTAATTGCTAAATGTAATGGGAAACTATTTATCCTTTTTTTTCAGTTGACCTCTCTATAGCATTTGAAACTGACTACTTCTTTATTGAAAATCTTTTCTTAGCTTTCTTAATTGACTCTTTCCTCCTCCCCAGCTCCCCACCCCCACCCCAGGTATTTCCTTTTAGTTCTCTTAGCCCAATCCCAATCCTCTGGAAATTTTTATCATTTTTATCATTATGAAATTATTTTTCTGATTTTAAAATTGACACGTAATTATTGAAACATTAAAGCAATGCAGAATAGTACAAAGTTGATTGGATAAAATTACCCCAAGATAAAACTAAGGTTTAATATTAGATGGCCATCCTTTCTCATCCCAATCTCTCTTTCTCTCTGAAGTAGATTCAAAATTGTGTCTAAACAATTCTCTCTTCCTTGATGTTTTGGAGTTGTTTTCAATTTTGGAGGCAGCTCCTCCAACCATGATTACCAGAGGAACAGTTATTTTGTATTCCGTTAGAAAAACTCAACACTTGTCCACAGTTAGTTGGCCCAGTAGTGAGTTTCTTACAGGAAAATCTTTTCTGAAGCAAATTAAGATCAAATATACCTTGCTGAATGGTAGGTAATAGATTCTTTACTATATTATAAATACAATGTGAACATTAGAAAAGTGGTAGTAGTACTGATTGTGCTAGATTGGGGGATGTTAGGGAGAAGCCCAGGAAAGATGGACGGTTTTTATTTTACCTCCAAAACCCACTTATTAGACTATAACCCAGGTTGGGTGAAAGAGGCAACACCACCTCAGCCTCACTCTTGGTTACCACAGGGAGAACAGTTTTATGAAATATGACATTGTTATCCAGTTAACAGTTGCTTAAACCAGTGTTTCCTGGGTTGAGTCAATCAGAGTAGATCCCTGAGGACTTGGAGTTGAGGCCAGACTGCCCCAGTCTAGTTTGGCTGCTTGGTTGAATTAAAGAAATGCACATTTAGGGCTTCCCTGGTGGCACAGTGGTTAAGAACCTGCCTGCCAATTCAGGGGACACGGGTTCGAGCCCTGGTCCAGGAAGATCCCACATGCCGCAGAGCAACTAAGCCCATGAGCCACAACTACTGAGCCTGTGCTCTAGGGCCTGTGAGCCACAACTACTGAGCCTATGTGCCACAACTACTGAAGCCCGCGCGCCTAGAGCCCGTGCTCTGCAACAAGAGAAGCCACCTCAATGAGAAGCCCGCTCACTGCAACGAAGAGTAGACCCCGCTTGCCGCAACTAGAGAAAGCCCACGCGCAGCAACGAAGACCCAACGCAGCCATAAATAAATTAATTAATTAATTTTTTTAAAAAAAGAAATGCACATTTAGGATATGATATTGGTGACCTGTTTCTGCCATATGAAGTGGAAACTGAAAGGGGAGGGTAGACTGTGACTTAAGAACAACACCTATATGTAGATGCCAACTAAAAATTGTCGCTTGCCATCTACCTCTACAAGTATTAAATCATGAGCTCCTGCAGTGCTGACCTTCAATATCCCCCTGAAAGGAGTTCAGGGTGGAGGTCAGGGATGAGGCTGTCTATGCTCTGGGAAAAACTGGCAGAACAGGTCTTCAGATAAATATTATCTGGAGAACATCTTATGAGCCCAATTCTTGCATCTCCTCATGTCTATATAAGCACTAAAATCATTAATGGTGACATCTGCTCCTTGTGACTAGTAATAACCTTTACGAGACTGGCAGCAGCCTTCTGCAAAAATGTGTGTTTGATTGCATGTACCCACCTTCACCAAAATCACATATACACTGACCTTCCCCCCTACCTCTTCGGAGCAGTTTCTCAGAGATATCTGAAATACTGTCTCCTGGGCTCTAGTCCTCATTTTGCTCCATATAAAACTCAACTCACAACTCTCACTTTTGTTTTGTTTTTGTTTTCTGTTGACACAGAGAAGGATTGTAGAGAGACTGAGAGAGAGAGTTATAACAATATGTGTTGCTGACTCTGGTTGCAATTCTGTTCTTAGAGGCTGTGGGATTCCCTAACACCCTTATGGAAAACTCTCCTATTTGAATAAGCTGGTTTGATTGTAAACATATAATTTTATAATTTATGATCACACAATACAATGCTGTAGCTTTGTGTTTTATTAAACAATATAATTTAGCCAACTTTCCAGGTCAATAAATGTAAATCTACAAGGGCTGTATTTTACTTTGATAAACATACCACAATTTACTTAACAAGTTCTTTTTACTAATGGATATTAAGTTTTCCAATAGGTTCACTCCCTCAATGAACATCCTTGAACATACTTTTAAAAAATACTTGCACAATTATCTTCTCCCCTTAAAGTCTTTAAGTTACATTGATGGTCAAAAGATATTTTCATTCAAAATTATTTACATATTGTCATACTTCCCTCCAAAAAAAATATATTAGTTTGCACTCTCTTTAAGAGTGATTGTGAAATGTTTCGTCTCCAAAATTATTACCACCATTAGATTTTGTAAATAATTTCAATATTTACAATCTGGTGGAAAAATTCATGTTACATTTTAAACTTTGAATTTATTTGATCACCAATGAAAATGAACATCACATATTTATCAGTGATTTGTATTTCTTATTTTGTGAGTTGCCTCTTCAAGCCTTTTGGCCATTTTTGATTTGGGAGTTTATATTTTATCATTGATTTGTAAGCAATCTTTACATATTAGAACATGCACTCTCTATTATCTGAGTTGCAACATTTTTTCCCCACTTTGTACTTTGTTTTCCTTTGATCTTGTGTGTACATGTATTGGAAGAGTGCAGGCATTTTTAAAGCTTCTGTAGTCAAATTTCTCAACTTTTAATTTTTTCCTGGATTTCCTGTTTATGAAATGAAAGGCAATAATTTTCATCCATATTTTACTTTGGGACTTTAATTTTTTATTTTTCAAATATTTGATGCACCCTAGTTTCTGACTTTTTGGATTTCCCACCCACAACCATTTGTTCCTGAAATTCTTTTATTCTATCTCTATAATATCTTTGGATGTATCCCCTGTTCCATCTCCAACTTCCTTACATTGGCCAAGAGCTCATTATTTTTGGCCTACGTTTACTGTAACAGCCTCCTAACTAGTCTCCCTACTTCCAACCTGAAAAAGCACTCCTAGGGGACTTCCAGGAAACATTTTGATTTCAGCACAGTCATTAATTTTTTTCTGCAAGATTTCCATGGAAGATACTAGCTTAAGCAGTTTGAACTACTCTACAATTTTCAGAGTGCAGCTCTGGCCATATTTTTAAAAATTTTTCAGAATTAGATTAAAATCCTACTGGGATCCCATGCTTCAGAAAGACAGGAAGTTTGGTGTTGACTTGTGTTGAATCTTCTGACTTGAGACACAAAACACTACTGACCATTTAAGTAGCCCTCAGAGCAAGAGGGATTTCTATAATTTGATAATATTCCCTCTATGACAAAGACGTTTACCAAATATTTGTGAACTCCTTCACATTTCCAAGCTTCCTTGCAGTTTGGTTTGAGCCATGTGATTGCTTTTTGTCAACAGGCTGTGAGCAGATGTGAGATGTGACATGTCCAAGGAGAAGCTGCAAGAGCCAATATATGGTTACTCCATTTTATTGTTTCCCTCTGCCATGAAATTGTTTTGGTCCAGATAGAGGCACTTTATTCATCCTGTGACCTATAATGAAGAAGATGTGGGCCAGAATTGCATTCAACTCACAGTGAACTTGAAATAGGAGTAAGGAACAAATCACTAAGATATTGGCATCTTTTCCTTCTAAAGCATAACTCAACCATAATTGCAAGAGACCAAGGCAAAGACTGCAGGTCCTCTTAAAGTTTAGGCTCTGAACTAGGCTCTGCCTAGGATCTCAGTTTCATCCTTGAGATGGTCTTTACCTGGAGGCCATTTCTTGTATTGAGATCTTTCTGCTGTCTTGAGAGTCAGAATGAGAAATAGTTTTGTTTTTGAACCTGTGGGTCCTGGCTCCTTTATATT